CGAAGGCCTTTCCTCCTTTCTTCTTATGCCTCGGCTTACGTAAAAATCGTAGGGAATACCAGGTAAATCTGGGCACTTCCTTGGTTACAAACTGGTTACCAAGGAAGGCCTAGACTAAACTACCACAATATACCAATCATTTGACCAAGAAAGACTGTGCTTTGCAATTATATCTTACCATTTTGGGGACTTGCTGTCTAGTGAAAATCAACAGATTTTGAAAAACCATTGGTTATGGCCTCAAGAGGTACTTAATAAACTTTTATTTATTTACAATATATCCATTAGGGGAACATAGGCTAAATAAAATTTATCTTATCCTATTTTTTTCTTTATTTGTCTCTTAATCTTGCTTATATGCAGTACAGTACCTGGCAGAGTACCAAGGGCTAAAACTCAGCTTTCTCTGATGTTGGTATACTAGCAGCTTGAACAGCAGGTTTCCTGCCAATTTAAACTTTTAGTTTTTTATGAAGAATTCAAACCAGAAAAGTTAAGCATTCCTTAGGTTTGCTCTTCAGTAGGAAGTAAGTTTGAGTTGGCACTGTGATTGCAAAAGCTCTTCTTTAAAATCTTATGGAACCAAAACTAGAAGTTCTGTTTAAATTCTTGTAGTCATATAAGAACACAAAATACTAAAAGAGCAATAAAGAAAATAATAAAAAAATCTAAACAAATATATTTTACAACCTGGAACTTGGAGAAACAAGCTGCTCTTTCATTTCTTATTTATTAATTTTAAGCAAAATCATTCAGACCTAACTCATAAGAGATATTTCCCCTATAGAGTGATTTCGAATTTCTCTAAAAATCCAGTTACATAAAATATACACAGAACATTTTATTTCTATACCTGCACCATCACAGGAAGATTATTTCTAGCCTCTGAAATAGCTTTGCAGAGTTCTGGGGTTTTCTGTATATTTTATGTTGAGGAGGTCCAGAAGCTTTTCTTAGTTGTAATAGGTCTCCATGAGCTGGCTCAGTTTACTGCTCTCAGAAGGTGAAGAGAAGGCACAAGAGACTTAATAATGCCCTGGAGCAACATGTGAAGCAACCTTTCTTTACCTCCCCTTCCGTATATACTCCAGGTTTTCTGTGCATGGGTTTGGGCCAAATGACCAAAACAGTCCATGAGTCAGGAATACTGTGCCCAGTTGTGATCTTGCAGCTGCTGTTCCTAGTTGCTGACACCTGAGTGAGTAATTCTGAGTCCTTTACAGAGCTGTAGTGTTATCTGGCCATGGATCACCTATGGTGTGACCTACTGAAAATGAGCTGTCCTAGCTAGTAAACAGCTTGGTCCAGATATTAATGCAAGAGAAGATGGCTGAGGCTGTGTTTGTCTTGAGACACTGGGCTTTGTTGTATTGCAGACAACAGCAGGTTCTCGGAAGCTAAGCTGCTTTGCCTCCAACAGGAGTTAGATTTTACGGTACCTTGAGAATCTGGGCTATTAGAGATATTCAAGTCTTAAATTTAAACACATGCTTACATACGTAGCTGGCCTTGATGATGCTAGTCATGTCACCTAAGAAGAGACTTTTCTTCAAAGGTAGTGAAGCTTTGTAGATCTCATTTCTTTATGTTACAGGGGCTGGGCCCTAGTGAAGATTGACAACTGTGTTGTCAGTGGTTCCACACACATTTTTGTGGGAAGTCTTGCAGTTCATTAAAAAAAAAAAAATGAAGAGAACATCGCTGTTATTGAAGATGGTGAAGGGTGTAGAGGGGATGCATATTAGGAGTGGCTGAGGTCACTTGGTTTGTTCAGCCTGGAGAAAAGGAGACCGGGGAAAGACCTCATTGCAGTCTACAACTTCCTCATAAGGGGAATCATAGAATCATAGAACCAGCTGGGTTGCAAGGGACCTCTAAGATCATCAAGTCCAACCCTTGGTCCACTACCGCTGTGGTTGCTAGACCATGGCGCTAAGTGCCACATCCAGTCTCATCTTAAAAACCTCCAGGGATGTGGAATCCACCACCTCCCTGGGCAGCCCATTTCAATGCCTGATTACCCTCTCTGTAAAGAATTTCTTTCTAATATCTAACCTATACCTCCCCTGGCAGAGCTTAAGACCATGCCCTCTTGTCTTACTGATAGCTGCCTGGGAGAAGAGACCAACTCCCACCTGGCTACAACCTCCTTTCAGGTAGTTGTAGAGAGTGATGAGGTCTCCTCTGAGCCTTCTCTTCTCCAGGTTGAACAACCCCAGCTCCCTCAGCCTCTCTTCATAGAACTTGTGCTCCTGGGGGACACATCTGCCAACTGGATGCAGCACCGTTCCCCACCACTCTCTGGGCCTGGCTCTCCAGTCAGTTCTTAACCCAGCAGAGAGTCCCCCTGTCCAAGCTGTGGGCTGCCATCTTTTCCAGGAGTATGCTATGGGAGACAGTGTCAAAGGCTTTGCTGAAGTCCAGGTAGACCACATCCACATCCTTCCCCTCATCCACCAGGTGGGTCACCTGATCATAAAAGGAGATCATGTTGGTCTAACAGGACCTGCCCTTCCTAAACTCGTGCTGGCTGGGTCTGATCCCTTGCCCATCCTGTAGGGGCTATGTGATTGCACTTAGGATGATCTGCTCCATAACCTTGCCAGGCATTGAGGTCAGGCTGACAGACCTGTGTTTTCCTGGGTCCTCCTTCTGGCCCTTTTTGTGGATTGGCATGACATTTGCCAACTTCCAATCATCAGGGACCTCCCCAGTGAGCCAGGACTGTTGGTAGATGATGGAGAGCGGCTTGGCAAGCTCTTCCACCAGCTCCCTCATCACCCTAGGATGGATCCCATCTGGTCCCATAGACTTGTGGGGTTCCAAGTGGCTCAGCTGGTCGCTAACAGTTTCCTCCCAGATTACAGGAGGGCTAATCAGGTTCTTATGTCTGTCTGCTAGCTCCAGAAGCCAGCTGTCCTCAGAACAACCTGCCTTACTGTTGAAAACTGAGGTGTTAAATATCTCAGCCTTTTCCTCGTCTTTGATAACTATATTCCCACCCATGTGCAATAAAGAATGGAGGTTTTCCTTGCCCCTCCTTTTGCTATTGATGTATCTGTAGAAGGACTTTTTGTTATCCTTCGCAGAAGTGGCGAGATCAAGTTCAAGTTGTGCCTTCGTCTCTCTAATTTTCTTTCTACATGACCTAAATCTATTCCTAAACTCTTCCTGAGTAGCCAGCCCTTTTTTCCATAGTCAGTAAGCTCTTTTTTTTACCCTAATTTCCTTCAAAATCTCCCTGTTCAGCCAGACCATTCGTCTTCCCCATCAGCTTGCCTTTCGGCAGACTGGGACAGCCTGCTCCTGTGCGTTCAAGACTTCGTTCTGGAAGCATGTCCCTCCCTCCTGGACCCCTTTGTTTTCAAAGGTTCTTTCCCAGGGTACACTCTGAACCAGTCTTCTGAATAGGCCAAAATCTGCCCTCCAGAAATCCACCATAGAGGTTTTATTGATGGCCCTCCTTGCATCCCTGAGTATTGAAAACTCTATTATTTCATGGTCACTGTGCCCCAGATGGCCTCCAACCACCACATCTCCCACCAACCTCTCTCTGTTTGAGAACAGAAGGTCTAGCGGGGCCCCATCCCTGGTAAGGTCATTTACCAGCTGGAGCAGGAAATTATCCTCTATACACTCTAGGAAACTAGAGGAAATGGAGGGGCAGACACTGATTTCTCTCTCTGATGACCAGCGATAGGACCCAAGGAAATGGCACAAAGGTGTATCAGGGGAGGTTGAGGCTGGATATCAGATAAAGGTTCTTCACCCAGAGAAAAATCAGTGGTTGAGCACCAGAACAGTCACCCCAGGGAAGTCGCCATAGTGCCAAGCCTGACAGAGTTCAAGAAGCATTTGGACAATGCTCTCAGACACATGGTGAGATTCTTAGGGTTTTCCTAGAGACAGGAACTGGACTTGATGATCCTTGTAGGTCCTTTCCAACTGAGGTGTTATGTGATTCAGTGATTCACTGTAACTGCAACATCACTGTAGCACCATCTGAACTAACCTAGACAATCATGCATACTTCTCACAGAGTTTAGTCTTCGTTGGAGCCATGGCTCCTAATTAACAGCTATCAGCTGGTGTGATTATCAGACATTTTGAATTAAAACTGTAATGTGTTGATTTTAAGATCCTATGTTATCAGACACTTCCTGTGTTGAAAGAGGAGTTTAGACAGGCTTTAAGAATCAAAGAATTGAGGAGCACTAGGTACAGTTCCTTATGTCCCAAGAAGATAAAGAGAAGCACTCAAGCTTCATGAGATAGAATGACACTGACTTCGTCAGATTGAATAGGAGTTTTGATGCCCGTGAAAGTCAAACACAATGAATCACCTGATGAAGTGCTGGAGAATTTGGCTCAAATAGTTTCTTTGAAGAAAGTATAAATAAAGCTTTATGCAGCGTATATTCTCTGAACAGTTAAGAGGTTCTCTTCCCCTCAGATTTACCATGCTCTCAGGAGCACAAAGGGGTGCCCTTTTTCAGAGGGAGAATACAGAAATTTTATTTTCAGGAGTGGACACTAATAGAATCAGCACTTGAGAATGAGGTTCAAGGCTCTAAACTATAACAGTGCTCTCATAGAACATGACTTTATATATAGATCCCTTAGATCTACATGAATATGTAATCAGATACCATCAGATTTCTGTTTTATTTTGGTTGAAAAGGAACCTTCCTGCAAACATGTGAAGAAATATATAGATATAACAAAGAACTGCTTCTCTGCCTAAGTCCTGCATTTGAAATTTCTCTTTACCCGTGGATGAAATAAGCACAAGACTTGTCATGCAACATGGGCTGTGAACTCAATACTCAAAACCAAGATGAACAGTGCAAGAACAAGGTGAACTATTTGTTGAAGTCTTTTGTCAGCCAAACTCAGGTAATATGCATTACAGATTTACACCACAAGGGAATAACCATTGTGTATTTGAGATCATCAAAGAAGAAGAAAAAAAATGTAGTAAGAATATTTCTGCATTAAAGTTATTTCATTGCTATGTAATTTTCTAACTAAATTGACATTCAGAACCTTCCAAGACAACCACGTCTCTAAAATGGCTTTTCTTCTGAAATCTTCATTTGCATCTAGCATTTATCTAACCTGTGGTGCTGAAAGAAAAAAGAGAACACAGCTGTCATTTGAGAGTTCACACCCCTCATTATGAGCTCTACTGACAGATGTGCCTAACTTGAATACTCCCTCACTAATCCATGGGAAAACTAAGTTTGGCCAGCCTTCCGTTCATAAGGTTTATTCTCTCTACCTTTTCCATGCTGGCCTAAAATTCTCGACTGATGTTCAATAATCTGGAGGAGCCTGGGTTACTCCCTCAAAAATCTACATGGGAGAAAAGGGACAAGGAGACAATGGTAAACCAGCCACAAGTACTGTTGTCTGTGGCTATAGGTCCACAGAGCAGGTGGCTTATGCAGTGAATGCCTTTGTGTTTCCCCATGCAGATGATTTGGTAGCAAATGACTAAACCCTGAGTGCAGATACATGACTCAGAGACATTTGCTCAGTTTATGGGGTGAGGGAAAAAAGCAGAATTTATATTTCAGAACATATTAGATATTTCTGAAATACTTGATGGTACATATACTGTGTGTTTAGTGTATGCATTATGCCTAAAAGTATTCATGCATGTATATTTACTTTTATAATTTATAGACCAGTTACAACACCAAGCTCTCTTCCAGATGTCAAGAATAAAACTATATTTCACAGCTATTTTTACAATTGGTAGTAAATCTGATAGATGGTGTGAGTACTGTGAAAAGTATCTGACCTTGAGCAAGAAGAAAATCCCACTGGAAGACTTCTATTTCAGAAATAAACAAGATGTGCCCGCAAATGGTTGCTTATTTGCAGCCGAAGACAGTCCGGATCTACAATATGTTCCCTTTTAAAATGAAAGAAGATGCATGCTTAACCCAAAAATACTTTCTTTCATAGTGAATTGACCAAGGAGTAGGGCTGGCAGTTTTTGGAAAACGCCTCACCGCAGTTCTCCAAGAATGTACACATCAGCATTAAAGAGCCACATCCAACTAAAAGACCAACATCAGGAAGAACACCAGTACTGTATTCTGCAGTATACACCATATGTTTTCATTACCCAAAAATGTTCCACATGGCTCTCTTTCACTTGTGCCAATGACGCTTTAAGGAGCCAGAAGACTCTGCCAGTAAAAAAGAAACCAGTTAGCAGTACCAGAGATAATCAGAAGTTAAAGGTAGGAGAAACCACCACAATCACCTATGGTATTCAGCCCACAAAAAAGAAGGAATTTTTCCAAGTCTGTACTATGATGTCAGTGCATAATTTAAAAATTAAAGAGACACGGACAGAGTGAAAATGGTTTTGCAAACTTTTCCTTGTCTTGAAACTCATGGTTGGGGGATTTTCTGAGCAGAAGGCAGTAGATACACCACTATAGGTAACAGACTTCATGGTTCTTCATTTCAAGATTTTCAGTCATTCATTTAATAAGAGCATTTCTTGTGGTCTTTTAAATTTCTACTTGTTTTCTTCACTTCTTGTGATACAAATCATGTTCATTAATTGTTCTATATTACCTTTCACCATGCCATTTGTGACATGGAGTACCCTCTTCTTCTGCAACCTCTCTTTTTCTACTCTGGCCCATCTTCCTTACATGAAATTGTTCCATACCTGTGGTGACCATCATCACTTTATATGTAACTTTTCCTGTCCTATTTTAGCCTTTTCGGGGCAGGGTTGCACACACTGTAGATGAAATAATTACAGATTTACACAGTGGCATAAAGATAAGGTTTTCTGAAAGTCGTGAAAAAGGGCAAAACACTGATTTACCCACTGTGGAGCAAAAAAGAACTATTTTCACAGATAGAAATAGTAATGATAATCTTTCCTTCTAAAATATCAGTAAGTAGAAAACCTTATTACAGAAAAGAATATTAATCTGTTAAAAAAAACCCAGCCATCAAAAGCAATATACAATCCTACAGTGAAAGCATAGAAAAAGCTGTATTCATAAGGTCACACAACTTCACATTCATTTTTCAAAATTTCCATAGGAGCAACACAGACTCTGAGTCCAAACATTTACATTCATCTTCCATCAAATTCAATAACTTATGTTAGCAGCAAATTCATGAGAGTTACAAGCGTTCCACCTTTGGAAAATATTTGGTCAATTCTAGAATTTAATCCTGGAAACATTAAAGCTAGCAAATGAGTCACTTTAAAGGAGGATTTCAAGCATCTAATGGCAACCATGTGGGCCTAAGTACTAACGTCAATTCGTTGTTTGTATATTCCACTGTTTGGCAGTAGCAGCTCAACCTTGAAATGGTGATGTAAGCTAAAACCCTGTAATGCTCACATGATCTTTCCAAGATATAAAAACACAGATCAGCAAGGGGGTGTATTCTTCCTAGAAATAAAAAAATTACATTTTTCATATAAAAACTAGGTACAAAAAGCATGATGCAAGCAAACTGAGTCTAAAGATACCTCCATGTCATCTCAGTGACTCTACAATCTACTAGAGCTTTACTGTTGTGCTTATTGTGATGTCAAAGGAGTCTCTGGATGTGTGATCTTACAAGTATGCACTGCTCACGGCTATCAGTGCTATTCTCTCCCTTTCTTTTTATCTCCAATGCTAAGACTAATTTTTAAGAATAAAATGTTTTTATTTATGACAAAAAGGTTAGTTATAAAAGTTGGATACTAAATTGTTCAGTAGAATCTTTATCCTTTGATTATATATCATGGCTAGGCTTCACGAACAAAGATTTGGGAAAGGCTCTACCCATGTTTGTTGCAAGCGCATTGGTGGCTAAAAAGGCCAATACGAGGCAGGCATGTCGAGTTGCAAAAGGCACAGCAGAAAGACTCCTTGGATGGTATATTCTGCAAGACACGATTCTTTCTGCATTGTCTTTTCTCCTCGAGAGTGATCCTGCGTGCTTTCTCAAAAGCATCAGCAGCGTTATAGATGGTGTGTCTCCAGGCCTCCCGATTGGAGGCCAGAGTAGACCAGTTATGTTGATCAATATGGCCAAGGCTGAGATGCTGTTTCAGGGAGTCCTTGTATCTTTTCTTCGGGGCTCCTCTCTTGCGGCAGCCGGTGGCAAGTTCACCATAACGAAGGATCTTAGGGAGGCGGTGGTCCTTCATCCTGGAGACATGTCCTGCCCATCGCGGTTGTGTTCTCAGCAACATGGCCTCAATACTTGTGACAGCTGCTTGTTCTAGAACAGATGTATTGGTCACATAGTCTGACCAGTGGATGTTTAGGATTGAACGGAGGCGGCGTTGATGGAAGTGTTCTAGGAGACGCAGGTGGTGGCGGTAAATGACCCATGATTCAGATCCGTATAAGAGTAGACAGCATAGCTGACCAAACAAAAGCATTTTCATTAATTCTATTCCAAATTAATTCCCCATTGCAGCTGATCTTTTTTTATGCTTTGTATCCCTAGGAAAACAAAAAATGCAATGACATTGGTTAATCATTTCGTAATATATATTTCAAGCTTTTGGCCTAGCGTACACAAAAACTAGAACAAAAGTCATGCAAATATATTAAGGCTTGATGTATTCTCTTTCTGGAAACCAGAGTTTAATTTTTTTTACTGTCATTTTAAATTAATTTGATCATTTTTGCAATAGAGGAGATGTGCACTGTATTCTGAAACTTTGCATTTAGCTTGATAATTTAGCTTGAAATGTAGTGGTATAATAATTTTAGGCCTGAATATTTGTTTTTTAGAATAATGCCTTAATTGCCCTATTTCTTTATTTATCCTCTTTTTTTTGAAGTTATATCATCTGCCATCTGTTTCTCTATGTAAAAATTTAGTGTTATATATTGTCAAGCAAACAAAAAAAATGGCATAGATACCTTCTTATTGTGTTCTTTTTAAGCTACACGCTGCTTAGTTGTTATAATCAGTGCAACTGAAAATAGTTTCTGCATATTATCCAAAATTCCAAATATAAACACACACTGAAAAGCAGTCCTCATGTAGAGCACATTTTAATGCTTTACATCTTTGCTTCCATAGTTAAGGAGCTGGATCAAAATCTGGAGCTCTAAACATGTCTTTAAACTTTCATTCATTTCAAAAAGTCCCCTGAATTTGAGGTACAGGTTGGGTTTTAACATTCGTTTTTAACTTCAAATCAGTTCTGAAATTTCAAAATGTATGTGTGCAAGAGAGACAAAGAAAGACAGAAAGAGGAAATGAGTGCAAAAGGGAGCCTGGCTTGGCAGCAATTTCTTATTCTGTTGCTACAAGAGTTTGTTTTGCAGGAAAGCAGTCAGTAAGATTAACTACATTATAAACTTTCCTGAACATACAGTATATTGTAGTAAATTTTAGTATTATTCATAATCCCAGTATGGTCTTTTGTAGTGCATAATAGTTTTGGGTTGACTTTTTTCCCTTCCACATGCTCTATTCCTCGATACCCAATATCTGTCCAAACACCCTGATACGTAATGTGCAACAGACTAAAACGGCAAGTTTCCCTGCATGGTTCCAAATGAAGTTAAAATGATCAAAAACTCATCTTTAACTTCATACTTCATTCTCTTGAACTTGTGCCCTGCACAACCACAACAGTGGCAGGGGGGAGGGCACCAAGTTTCCATGCATCATTTCTTCTATTCTCTGTTCCTGTTGTCCCTCAGTTCCTTGTAAACAGATGCACTTTTTCCCCATCCCCAGCCTCCTTAATCTTTAGCATCTGAGTATATCCACTGTGTCATTTAAGGTAGCCTCCACATTTGTTGCTCATAAAAGGAGTAGGCAGATACAGGTGGACAGAGAAACATCATGCCTTGATGGGGCAGTAAAGTCTTTCCCATGTTGGCCTCTAAAAAGATGTGGTGACATGAGGATTAGAGGTGGAAGAAGTATTTGCATTAGTGTGGCTTTATGTACGTTATCTAATGGGAAAATAAATGCTCTGTTGAGCACTGGATATATAGAATTTCACTATTACCTGTATGTGTTCTTTCCTGTCTATATTATATTGCTGTTTTCCAAAGCTTAATTTGTAAATTAGGTTTACAGTGCTTTTCCAGATAAATATCATAAAAGAGTACATTTTTTCTTTTTTTTTTTCTTTTTTTTCCCCTTGGTTTTTTTTCTTATTATTTTATCCAAAGCAGAGACAACTTAATGTTCCTTTCACTCAGAGGAACTTATAGAACAGTAAATGAGGCTATTGGCAGTGAGATGAGTTCAGATGGTTTCCTCACAGCTCCACTTAGGAGCACTGGAAACATTCCTATACAGTTTCTCTAACCTGCATGTTGTGACCAGTTTTGAGAACATGCTATTGTCCCCAAGTACTATAAAACTAGGAAATGATTGAGGGGAATCCTGACTGCCTTTGCCATGTGTGACTGTCTTAGTTCCTTTGTCTTTGCATGACACACCTCACCCTCCTCCTTTAGCAGTTAGGTTGGATTTTTCTATCTCCCTTTGTTTCCACCACAGCCCTGGTACAGCAAGTGGTATTGCACTTTGGTGCAAAACTACTCAATCGTTAGAAGGGATGTGTGCTAGTGAAGATATTCTAGCTTTTACATTTTTTATCACACTATTTTTTCTTTCTTTTGCACTCTTATTATTAACCTTTTTATAGAAAATTGGCTTACCAAGAATTTATGAATTAGCAAGTCTATTATAATGATGAATGGTAATTACCATTTAAATCCTGAGTCATTCATCAGCTTGTTCACCATATGTCAGGTGATACAAGAGTGTATGAATACTCATCTGGTGAGTATTTCTCAAATGATTGTTATATTTGCCTGAACTTTGGATCTATATGCCAAAGACTAGGTGAATGAAAATTAAAATGGTAGAAAAAGAAAAAAATTGCATTTAATGTAAGAAGAGGGGAAATGACAGCACAATAAGAGGCAATACTGGTAGTGACACCTATTAACATTAGACAATTATTAGCATTTAAAAAAATTAGGAAGAATAAATATGGATTTGAAGTTTTGTGAGGATACACAGAAAAACTTGTTATTGCAAATGAAATCCTTATATAAGATTTCTGGATAAGGAATCATAAAGAAAAAATCATGTTTGGGAAAGAGATTACCAATCAGCCTAGTCTAGCCTGGAGCTGCTTGGGAATTTCTTCTCTCATCAG